TAAATGTCTCAGCTTCCATCAGAACTAAAATCTTAAATAAGGCAATGATGCAAAAAAGCAATGACCAACTTAGTATAGACATAATCAAAGGTGCTTTAATAAAAACTCCGACAACACTTACATGTGCTTGGGGGAATGGGGCAAGGGAAAGGGAAACAGGGAGGAGAAATCAGATTTCACAGGTATAGAAATTCCTGGTAAGAAAACTCTTTCCACAATTACAGATCTACAACTGATCTTAGAGATTTAAGTGGTCTTTCCAGGGTTACATGGCTAGCAAAATGTAAGAAGCAGTACTTGAACCCAGATTTCCTTGATTCAAAGACAGCTTTCTGTCTACTATGCCATCCTGACTCATGGATTTCATAAACACAAAAATTCTCAAGGGACTCCAAATTTAGGTTATAGTTTATTTTTTTCCTTTCCCTTTAAAACTAACCCTGGAAGTTCAAAATAATTAGAATGTGATTGAATTAAGGGTATTGTTTGATTCTGATATCTACAGATGTTTCATTACCACATTAAGAGAAAATTATTTTTTTTTACTTTAAGCTTTTAACTACTAAAATAAGCTTGGTCCCAAGAGAAAAGATGGGGTGGGGGGAGAAATGTACCCCTCTCCATTTGTTGAAACGGGAAGTTAGAAGGGTTTTGTGAGTGCATACACACATGTTCATGAACATGCAGACATGTTCAAATGAGTTGTTTTGCCAAACTTTTTTCCCCCATTAATATTTTCATTACAAGGGAATATGGGAGAAAGGAGGGTATATTTGGAAATAAAATTTAAAAATAAAGGACAGATATTAAGAAAAACTTCCCAATGCATGTAAAAAAGTAAATCTCAATGTAGAAAGAACTGATGGAAATTAACGAATTGTCTACATATTCAAAAAAGAGGTATAAAAAAAACTATGTTTAATGAGAGGGTTGCAGCACTTGTTTTTACAACTTGAACATGTAGCACTTAAACCCGAGTTACAGGCATTGGTATAATATGACTCATTTCATCACATAAACAAAGCTCCTATGTGATACTTACGACCTCTTGTTTGTACTGTAGTGTATATACTGCACAGCATTATCTCACATAAGCCTCACAACAACCCTATGAAGTAAACAGGGCAAGTATTATCCTGATTTTATAGATGTGAAAATCAAAGTTCAAAAAGAATGAGACTTACCCAAGTTTCCATAGTTAGCAGAGACAGTGAGGCAGTGGTTAAGAGTCAGGAAGAGCTTGGTTCCCATCCCAGTTTCTAAAATACTAGATGTGTGACCTGGGTAAGCCTTTAACTCCTCTGAGACTGCTTCCACATATGTAAAAAGGAGTAATGCCTAAAATATCTAATTCACAGGGCTGTTTTAAGGTAATATATGTAAATGTTTGCCATATTTTAAAGTCCTATATAAACAGTGGCCACTAGTAGTAGTAATAAGCAGAATTGGAATCCAAATCTTGGTCTTTTGATTCCTTACCAAAACTTTGCCCAGGATATCACTATGTATGTATATATTGCTCAAAACTTTTTTGGAAGTGCTTACAGAGCCAGTTTAGGAACCACAAAAAAATCCATTCCCTGCCATGGTATTTCCTGCCTTGATCATCTATCCATCATTGGTGTGAGCAATTCCCGTGAAGGAGCCCTCCTTCCTTGGTATCACCTATAGCAACTGAACACTTAATTGCTATGTGGCAAGGTAAGCAAGTCCCAGAGCCCCAGGCGTGTCTACACCCCCACCCCAGACCACCAATCCTACTTCTAGCTCAACCCCAGAAAGCCATTATACAAAAAAACGCCTGGGAAGACAGAATATGGCAATTGTTTCTACGACTACTGCAGCCCCACATACAGAAAAGAAAATTCTCACCACTGAAGTGCTTGGGAGACTGTTAAATAGCTTAGAATCAGCAGAAATGACATTAAAGAAGGTGCATTACTATCTTCTTTGCTGCAGCACTCCAAGGTGAAAACTATTATGTAATCTCCACCAGAATGTGAGATCCTTGGGAGCAAACTGCCTCTGCTTTTCTATTTGTATCCCCTGCAATTAGCAGAGTGCTTTGCAAATAGTAATTATTTAATAAGAGTTTGTTCATTCATTTATGAGACGACTTAATAACTTGAAACTGTTTTTCAATCAAAAGGGCAAAGATTTGCCACAATTAGGACCATTCAATAGAATGTGGCACTCACTCTGAAATCAATGACTAAGGAGGCCTTGCAAAAACATTTTGAGCAATGGCAATATAGTTGGGATAAGCATATGTTTAGCTTCCTAATGACTGGTCTGAAAAAGAACACTAATTTTGATGTCTAAGTTCTAGTATATTTGACATAACTGTTAGTCACATCAGTCTGTGAAATCCAAAAATCAGCCTTCCTCCTACCTATCACTGCTATTACGACAAATTTCTATTATCAGACTCACTACTTAACTAGGAGACTTTATTTGAATCATTCTATACTTAGGGACAATGTAGTATAATCCTGTCATTTTAAAGATAAAGGAGTCGAGGCCTAGACAGGCTGAATGAGGTGTCCAAGTTCAGAACACAGGAGACAAGACAAGATGGGCCAGTGTCAGCCTCATGGGGTTTGCTCTTCTCACTACCATCTCTGTGTTAGGCCACTACTTATACTCTTCACTTGATTCTATTTCTCCTTAGATGGGGAAAGAGAGACAGGGACAGAGAGATAGAAAGAGGGACAGGGAGGGAGGGGTGATGTTCAGACATTTGAAATACTTTATGCAATGCAACAGAAATGTGTGTGCATGTATTTGTATATATGCATATATGTACGTGTATACCCACACAAATACATGCATATTTGTGTCCCTATCCATGTAGTTAAGAGCTCCACATCACCAACATTTGGCAACTCTGTGGGTGTGGGAATGGGTAGAGTGCCAGGTGCAGCACGGACAACAACATTCCTCTTCCCCCACACCCCAAAACAATTCCTTTGACTGACACTAAATATCCAGCATTAACAGATTAGCATTCCCTGGTTCCTTATTGTATATTGTAGAGTTTTAGCCCAATAATACCTATGTCGAAAATTTCAGGAAGTCTGGTGTTGGAAAATCCAGATCTTCAAAAGTTTATGTGCAAAAGGCATGGAAAGAAATATACAAATATAAATGCTTTAAAAACAACTTTGCAAATATCTTAATACAGAATTCCATGTTTTTTTCACAATACCTAATGTCTTAAATGCTATTTTGTCACATCATTAAATGTTATGGTTGGTAGCAGGTATGATAAATGAAGAAGCTGCTTTGCCCAAATAATATTTTCAAAAATTATTTAATGCTGTAACAAGCTCTATTTCTGAGATTAAAGAAAACAAAAACAAAAACAAAAATGAGCAGAAGTGATATAGTTAAACCTGTTGGCTAAATTTTTTTCTTTTACTACCAGGACAAATGGGAGTAATGAAACCTCTATCAAACTTAAGATTTATTTTATAAAGCACCATTTTTATAACTATTGCGTTATTGTGAGATATCCTTTGTTCTTCTAAATATTTCTTTGGTCTATAAAGTTTCTATGGTTAATTTTTAAAGGTACTTGAGAACTTAAGAGTCAGGTTTAACCTATAGGGTATGTATTATTTATTCATTAAAAGTAATGATGGCATAAAAAAAGATATGATACAATGGTACAAATGTCCATGTTTCTTTTTTCTTTGGTTTTTTTTTTTTGTTTGTTTGTTTTTTAAAGGCAGAACATATTTAGAAGCTTGTGAAACTACTTCAAAACCCAAACAGGGATTTCTGGACTTAGACATGCTTTAAATAATATAATCATATAAGCTTCTGTTTAAGAATAGTAAATCCAAAATAGTCTATCTAAATTCAAACTGTATTCTTGCATGAAATGTTAGGCTCAAGTAAAGTACTGTCTATCAAAGTAAACTGCACGTGGTGGATCCTTGATAAATATCTGATAAATGTTGAAGTAAATTAAGGTATACAAGTCCAAAGCCCCTAAAAGAGTTTTTAACACTGAAGATAGGAATGGAAAGCTAAGTAATGCTCGCGTTAAAATTTCATGTTTAATGAAATCACAGTACTATGTTTTTTCTTAAAAGTTCACATCTTTCTAGTGTATGATTTAAAAATCTTTATGTTATACAGTAGACTTATTCTGGAGGATATGCAATGCCAAAATCTAATCTGCCTAATTATAGAAAGCTATATTCAAATTTAATAATGGCAGCCATTTTAAACAGGTCCAACTACATCTACAGTAAAAGATAAGCAACATACCTTACTAAACTAGAAAGTTAATTTGGACTGGTAATAAAAGTTTGCTAGAACTGAGTTGCATAAAATGTCTTAAGAATTCCTGACCACAACATTAATATTAGGGGTTATCTGAATGTCCTAGACTGAGACATCATTAGTATTAACATTTACTGAACTTGACTCTATACCACTGAGGGTAAAGTCACTTACACTGGGAACATTTTATGACTACTATGTTTATATAGACCCCAATGACTGGCAAACTCTCTCAAATAAGTTAGAGCACTAAATTCTAAACCTACCTGACGACTTCCCTCTAAACTGTATAAAGAAATTTCATTGTGACTTAATATTAAGAAGAAAAGAGTAATGTACTAGGATTATAAATCTAAAGCTAGAAGCACAAAATTAGTAACACTTTTTCCTTAATTACCCAAGTGTAACTTGAAATATCTGATCTGAGTATAATGCCATTTGGGCAACCATTACTCAGTACTCACTGTATACACAGTACTGTGCTGGTCCAGATTAACATAATAGCAGGAAAGGCATCAATGTAATTTCCACATTTTATGTTTCTTCAGGCAGAGTGCCTATACTAACTGGCCTTCATAAGCACTGTCAAAACATACCATCACTGCACATGAAACAGCCCAAAAATTTAAAGTGTTCAAAGTAAAACAAACAAAAAACTGTACAGAAGTAAAAGTGAAGTCCAAATTAAGCCAACAAATAGCACTCACGTTGATGCCCAACCCATCAACGGGTTTTCCCATCTCTCTCTGGTATCAAACTCCATCTTCCATTTCTTTGTGTTGTTTACTCCAGACTGCATGTTATTGCGAGTAGGAACAAAAATCTGAACTTTTCTAGTTTTGATATGTTCCTCTGGAACACCAGTCAATGTAGTAATATCCTAAAAAGAAACAAACAAACAAACATGTTTCAGACAGACTGTATACCTACAAATGTGCTTTTATAATTCTGTTTCTTTACACTAATCTATTCACATTTCTTTATTTGTAGACTGGTTTTCTACTTCTTTATGGTTATTTAATTTCTCAGATAGACATGAAAGACAAGACATTCAACAAATCTCTTTATGAAAATGGTAGGGTCTTCCTGTTGTTCTGAGACATCTCCTTTAATTCTCCCCACACAGTTTTACTGGTCAAAAAAAAAAAAAATCCTGCTGAAGCTTTTACAATAGTTGCTAAACTGAAAAACATACAGTACCCTACCAACTTAACAAAGGAGTAATATTAATTTTTAGAGTATCTTGCTGGAAGAAGGCTCTCTTTTCATGAACTAGTATCAGGAGAGAATGAAAACAAGAGTTCTTCTGCTTGGAGATAATGAAAATTCTAACTAAACTTTAAGTAGGAAAAAACACAATAGCCACAAACCCTATAATCAGTGTCTCGCTATGGAGAACAATTAATTTCCTTTACAGGAAGGACTGAAACCATTAAAAAAATAAAACTAATTAAAACTCAAAACGGTATTTTTATCTGCCGATGCTGACGTCTTCTAAGATAAGGATGAATCAAATCTAATCTCTCCTCCAAAGCTAAGGGTGAAATTTTATAATTTTCCCAGCTCTGTATGCTAAATATTAAGGTTGAACTTTCTCGACCATTCCTTCCTCCTCAACCCCCTTACATACTCTGGTCAATAACAAAATGTTAATGCAGTGAATATCCAGAGATATGGCTATCTGTATTAAATTCATTTAACAAGTCTGAGCAATACTGACATGACACACAATAACCAGATAAACATATTTAATAAAACATTTCGGGATTTCTGTCCCTATTTAATAATAGTAAAATATTTTATTCTCTGAAAAATAATTAGCACTGCTTCCAAATCATTCCCAGAAATGAAGCAAGTCTTAATTCACATTTCACTTAATAAAGTAAGCTTTGAACAGCTATTTAAGATGACTAGGGTGGGGACGGGGGTGGGGGTAAACATGAAATACCTATAGAATAACTATAAAACTAAAGATTATGCTTTGCAAATAATAAGCCTGTGTACAGAATTATGTTCTTCAACTCTTGTAATATATATTACTTTTTCATAAAAAACAACCTCAATAAACTTATGTTAATGCCCAATAAATAAAAACTGACCAAACTTTTTTTGATTTTAAACAAAAGTAGTTGTTTATGGTAATATATGTTTAGCAATGCTAAAAATAAAAGAAATCATATTATTATTCAAAGCTACAACATACATGGGGAAAAGATTTGACAGGTACTTCTGACTATACTGGTCTAATACACCCACAAGATTAAAAAGTAATACACTTCAAAGTTTTTTATTTTAGTTGGCAATAAATGTTATGCTTAACACAATACTTTTCCACCTGTACCAATAATGAGGTGTGGTTTCTCTGTCACAGCTTGTCTGTTTACAGAAACTATCAAAATGATACACATATATTTATACAAATATGCAGTCCAAGTATGTGCCTACATTATAAAAAAGAAAAGCAAACAACTGTTGCATGGTATCTGAAATAAAAGTGAAAATGTTTAATTGTCCCATATTGCAATGACAGAAAAATCAACGGTAAGACTCAGAATCCTAAAATGTAAAACTATTACTCCCATGAACCCATGAATGAACTGCAGGAATAACAAGTAAACCAGAATTTTTAAAACATGAGGACTAATTCCCAAGAAAATGAATTCTAGATATCACAAGATTAGATGCTGAATCTAGTTTTAGAAAGAGATACTTCTCTGTATTCTAGGTACAGAAATTTATAAAATGAGTATATTTAACATTAAGATGGTTTTTTCCCCTTGATTTGTGCTGAATTACAGTTTAACGTGAATTATGACAAAAACCTCCTGAAATTAAGAAAATTACTTATTGTTTCAATTAGATAGTGAATAGCTACATGATGTTGCTAATCTTTTTATATTTTTGACTTTAACTGCTTATGTTTCCATGCCTTCTGGGAATATAGCAATTATTTATTGATATCTTCCCCAATTTAAAGTTGGCACTTGAACAGACGATTCTCAGGACAATAAGTTTCTGGATTTTGAAGCCCAAGTTGTCCTGACATAGAATCACTGTTTTTGCTTGCAGTAGACATGTAAGGTACTGTAGCATAGCTGAGCTGTTGCCAAAGATAGAGAATAAAAAAGCTTGGCATCTATGACATACTTGACACCTAAAGGGCACAGAAGCTCTAAAATTCCTATTCCCTGTAGGCGCACTCTTAGTCTAGACAAACTGATTTCTCACACTTTTAAAATGCATTACAACACTCTATTGTGATCATTTCATCCACACAGCTTCAGCTAGTGACAGAAGAACCTGTCCTTTAAGCGACATTTCAATGGGCTAAAGTTCCCGCTTCAAGATGCCATTAAAACAATATAATACTTGAAAAGAACTATGCTGCACTAAGTTGAACTCTGTACTCTGTCCTCAATGCTTTGCTTTGAGTCCAAGTTCTCAATGAGCTACCTGTGAACCAATTTTCAAAAACAAAATGTTTGAAAGTCATTTTAGGTTATAAGTATGACCTTGATTTTTTTTTTAATAAGCTCCTTGATTTTTGCTCTTGCATTAAAAATCAGTTTAAAAGTTGGAGAATCACCTGCTAATAATGATTTATTGGGTTCTGGAAAAATGTAGTAGAGCAGAAATACCTTGAATTCAACAAAGATTTGAAACTTTACCAATCTGAATGAACTAGACACTTGGCTATAGATTAAATAAATTAATACATTTTCTGACAACTAATGAGTATGGTTAAGGTAAACTAGGGCTTCAAATTTCACCTGAAAAAGTTTGAACTAAATTCCTCTGTAAACTAGTCAATTTTTTACTTGACATGTAGAAAATGGCAATCTATGCAATTATAACAAATAATGACATTATCCTACCAAAGTAAAAAAAAAAAAAAAACACCTTTTCTAAATATTTAAAATGTGAATGATGTATATGACTCACTTATATTACTACAGAAGATGGAAACATCTGAATAAAGATGTTTCCAAAGATAAAGTTCCAAAAATGTAATACATTCTACTCCCACAGATGTAGGCCATAGAGGAAAACCCAATTGCAGTTCATAAATTCAATGTTACCAGAATCTGGATTTGACTTTGAGAGGATGCACATAATTCTTCTGCAATAGAGTCCACACCTATAGCATCATCTCTACTTTATATTAAAAAATTCTAAAAGAGGTGGCAGCTGGTGGGCCTACCATTTTTTTCCCTGAGTAGCAAATAATTCACCAAATAGAAAAACTAAGAGAAAATAATAAGAAATGATGTGCTGATTCAAGTAAATCACATTTTTCTTCCAAACATCAAGGGGCCAAAGTCTTTTTTTACTCTCATTAAATATTAGCTTTTCATATAAAAAACTATATGATTCGGTTATCAACTATTCAAGACCATTTATCTTGTGTGAATTCAACTTTTTTTTAAACAAAGGAAGCAGTGAACAAGCAATGGGAAGTTGGTGTCAAAATGCAGAAAAACCTCCCAGCAAGCTTCTTGCAACCACCCAGGATTTAGAGTCTTGCTGGCTGCTCTCTTTTCAATACCAGAATTTCACACATTTCAATGACCATTATGACTTCAAAGAATCAAATTTTCATCATTGTCCGTCATCTGCCGGTTGATTTGTATAAAGGGGTTCTTCTGCATGCACTCTAAACAAAAGGCTCCCAACTTTCGTGGCGATATATCAAGTTTAAAAGTTCTGTTTGTGACAGTTGTGTCTGTGGTAAATTAGGGTAACACTGAAGGAGTGCAGCTGCTCCGCAGGAACCTCCTTTTTGGCATCATTTCACTTAAATAAAAACTGAATAATTAGCTTCTGCCTTTATTAAACCACAAAAATGCCACTGGCCTTAGTAATTACTTCCGGTTGCCCCACCCACTTAACCTTAACAGTTTACATTTGTCATAAAGGAGAAATAAATAGAAGTTTTTGCACTTTAAATGAATTTACCACAGACCTCTCAGTATACTCTCCAAAGCCATAATTTTTACCAGGCCTTGGTAATAAGTTGAAATTGCATGAGAATTTTTTTTTGGGGGGGGGGGGAATAGTTATCATGGAACATTATAAAACTAAAAACAACTATAACATACAAGAATTTGGTTAGTTGAGATGAAATTGTAAACTGTTAGTTACAAAATAATACCTTTGAATTTATATTCAATTAATATACTTGATTTTTTTCTATTAAGATTCATGATGTAATAGATAACATTTATATAATGCTTTAAGGTTTGCGAATAACTTTATACATTATGTCATTTCAGGCTAACAATCACCCTGTGAGATAGGCAGTATTATTATTCTCATTTTATAGATGTAGAAACTGAGGCTTAGAGAGGTTAAGTGACTTGCCCAGGGTCACACACCTATTAAATATCTAAGGCAGTATTCAAACACAGGTCTTCTGGACTGAAGTCCAACATTCTATCTACTGTGCCACTAGGCTTCATCATCATCACTATCATCACTATGATTTTGAAAGACAAGTTCTAAGGAAATGCAAGGTGAACATAATTTTCATGTTCAGTATGGACATTTAGGAATTCATTAAGTGATAAAGATAAAGGATAATTCATATCTTGAATTTTAGAGTTATAAGGAAGCAAGTAGTGCAGTGGATTGAGCGCTGGGCCTGCACTGAGGAAGATTCATCTTGCTGAGTTCAAATCTGGTCTCAGATAAGTATCTACTTACTGAGCCATGTGACCCTAGACAAATCACTTAATACTGATTGCCTCAGTCTCCTCATCTATAAAATGAACTGATGAAGGAAATGGCAAACCACTCCGGTATCTCTGGCAAGAAAACCCCAAATGGGGTCACAAAGAGTCAGACTACCAAAAAACAACTGAACAACAAGGAGGCAGATAG